ATATATATATATATATATAGGGCTCATTGTATCACGTTTAACATAGGTGAATAATATCAATCATATTTTCTCCCGTGTATTCTCACAACCTTGTTTTGCAACTTTTTAGCTTGAGATCTTGTTAAATGCCCTGTTTGAGATTCCAAAGCTTCATCTTTGTCCTTGAATAGATTTGAGCTTCCTAGGATGCTATCATTCTGAACCTCAACTTCCAATGAATCACTGTGGACTTTCTAGGATTTGAACCCAGAACAGTAGCCTGGTGGTCCCGGGAAGGGTCGGACCCCAAGGGGTGTAGTGTGGGCAGCCTACCTACCCCTGAGTCGCTAATTTCACGGCTCGAACCGTGGCCTATAGGTCACCCGGAGACAACTTTACTGTTGCTCCACTGCTCCCCTTCGATTCAAACCCAAAACCTCAGATGAAAATCCAGTTCCTTTTAGCTCAACAGAATGAGGGAATTGGAGAAAGTTGGGGAATGTTTTAGGGTGATTGACCATCTCCGGCATGCCTATGATTTCTTCTTTGCTCAAACCAACAGCTCGTTTTGCATAGGTATATGTGTGTATATGTATTGTGTGTCTGCTTCGATCTCTCTCTCTCTCTGACTACTGTCCTTTGCTCCGAACTCTCACCACTACTCATTTAATTATAAAGTACAGGTTGTTGCAGTCTACAGCAAAATGGAACTCCAGCCCAGTATGAAGAATGAGACCAACAGGGAGTTAAAGGAATTTCATGGAGGGTGGTTGCCCTCTCTGCGTGGCCTATAATTCTCCATCTACCAAAGCAACAACCCTCTTCAGAAGAAGAAATCAGGCAAATATTGTTGATAGCAGTGGTACTATCTCTTTTGAGCTTAAGACAATTTTTTGGTCCAAAACATCCCCCGATCTGAAGGTTCTGTTTGTTTGATGAGGACTTTTGAACTTGTGCTAAGGCCTACTAGAACTATGGAAAAGTTCCCATTTTTCGAAAGAGGCAGTGATGATATTGCTAGTCTATGCTGAAATTTGGGGCATGGAGAAAATCTGACCTGTATCTTGGCATGGCAAACCCGACTGGTTTGTGATTGTGGCTTCCTTCACATGCAACCGGTTCTTTGCAGCCATGGCGTGATCACCTTCTCTTTGCCCCATTTTATACATATCTGAGCCTCAAATTCCAAGCAGTCCATCAGGATGTTTCAGGACTCGAACCCAGGACCTCTTCGGGGTGGAAACCCATGTCATTTTCTTCTTAACATCATCTCAAAGTTGGAGGCATCGGAGAGAAATGGAGAAGAATTGGGGAAAAAGACCCCGCAAGTCTGCACTTCAAAAAATAACCCTCTATTTTCTTTTCTAGTTATTTTACCAAGAATATCCTGTTGGCATTCTTAAAACCATGTTATATATATCGAGAGAAATATGGTATATGTGTGTAAAAGATAGATCTTTTATAGATACCCAGATTGTCATTGTTGTTGTTGTTGCTACGGAATTTCTTCTGTTTCTCCTATTCGTGCTGCTATTTGGCTGTTTTATGAACCAAACAGCAAGAAATCATTGTAAGAACAGGGAGAATTTAATGATGTGATGATAATGTTACGTGGCGGCCCTTTGAGAAAAAGAATGAGACATCAGAGAGAGATGGGATTTTCTGTAAAGGGTGGTTGCCCCTCTCTGCTGTATCCATGAATTCTCCATTCATAAAATACCAACAACCTTTTCATGAGAAAAAAAGAAGGAAAAAGAAAAGAAAAGGGACTATAGGGGTGTTTGGATTGGCTTATAGCTCTTTTCTGCTGCTACAACAGCTGATTTGCACAAATAGCAATTTTTTGACCCCTTGTTTTTGGAACAAGGTAGAAATGACACACAAGGTAGCCACTTTTAATACTGGGCTATGATGATTTTCTTCTTTCTTTTTGGGCTATCACCTTCGCTAGCTTTGAGAAAATCTGACCCGTATCTTGGCGGGGCGACCCGGTATGGCATCATCTGCAAACCGGTGTCTGCAGCCATGGCGTGGTCCGTTTCTCTTTGCAGTTTCATAAAAAAGAAGAATCTGAGCCCTAAAAGTTTTATGACAACCATTTGATGGTCTTGAATGGATGGTCGTTCTCTGAACCGGAAAACATTGTTGGGTTCTTCAGTTTTTTCTTGAACACCCAATTATCAGATGCAGTTCTCCATCTAATTTTTAGCTAAAAAATGAGGCAATTGGAGAAATATGGTGATTTCAGGGTGATTGACCTTCTCCACATGCCAAGGATTTCTATGTTGCTCCAAAGGAATAGCCCTTTCTGAGTATGCATACATCTGTCTCTCTATTTGTTAATACTTGTTAATACTGTGCTCCTGCATGGTTGCCTTTTCAAGCAAAGCTGCAAAAAGACATAGAAAAGGAGGGTTATTTTCTTGACTACAGGCTTCCATTAGATTCTCTTATAATAGAGTGTTTTACTACACAAAAATGGAAGTTCAGCCCAGTAAGAAGAATGATGCCACCAGAG